ATGATGTTTACAAAGCTGTTAACCTAATTTAGCAGCTCAAAATTTCTGATATGAGTTTTTTCCTTTGCCAAAATCTTTTGTCTCTTTTCTTCCTTGTTCTATAGTAGCACATATTTTCTTATCTGACTGTCATTCTTTTTTTTTTCTGCTCTCCTCTTTCCTCTTGAATTCACATTTTTCCTTGGCTAACGAAATAAAAATGCTTGGAGAATTTCTACCCCCAATCTGCCCTCTCCCCCCACCCCCACTTTTCAAAAATCTGTTTTATCTCTCCATGGCACTTTGCTTTTTCTGATAGCTCTTTCATTTTCGTGCTTTTTTTCTTTTGCCTTTTATTTGGCGTTGCTTTTTCTTCTTATGCCTAGTGAAGTCAAGATTTTTTTTTACACATTCTACAATTTCTTTTCAACTTGGCCTGTATCTGCTCTCAGTCTCTCTCTTTTCTTCTCCCCAATAAATCCTTTTTTCTCCTCTGATCTTCTCCTCGTCCCCTTCTTATTCTTTTTCACATTTCCCAGTATACTGTCGTATTTTTTTCCTTCAGTGACTTCCTTCTTTTCAGTTCTTTTATTCTCACTTAATACTTTAAGGGGAGGATGATTTAGAGTTTTCTTTAAACTATTGTTGGACAAGAGCTCACTTGGAGGCCCTGTCCTCCAGAAGTACAAACAGCTTAGGGGGTGCTGGCATTAGGAGCCTGTCCATACCAGGCCAGGGGTCAGGGTCGTGTGGGGCTGCCTGAGACAGCTCAGGCTCATCCCTCAGCTGATGTTGGTGTTACAAGGATGGTGTAGCTTGCTATCATCTTAAAGACGCTCAGAATGACACCACAGTCGAGTAGCTTCTCAAAGCTCTTCATTTCATCCCTGATGACTTCATGGAAGTTAATATGATGATCTGCCTTGACTGAATGATGTCACTGAAGGACATGGACTCAGGGACAACCCAGGATGTGGGGGGCCTGGGCCTTGCTCCAGTGTCCACATGAGTGAGGACTCTCAGAAACCCCTCCTGACTCCCAGGAGGACAGCACTGTACACACACACACACACACACACACACACACACACACACACACACATCTTCCACCCACTGGTTCACTCCTGGATTGCCTGCAATAACCGAACCTGGGTCAAGCTGAAGTCCAAAACACAGATCTCAGATCTTGACTCAAGGATTTGAACCTGTACCTGCTGTTACTCACAATGCCAACCATCTCCCCACCACCCTACTGCCCAGCTTGGATTGGCAGAGAGCTGGAGTCAGAAGTGAAGGAGCCAGGACTAGGACTAGGCACTCTGGGTTGCAGGCATCCCAAGCAGCAACTTTCCTACTATACCAAACTCTGCCCTCAAAACAGTGTTTGTTGCTCTGTTTTTCTCCCTATTTTTAGACTCTTCTCTTTGATCTTTCATTTGCTAGGAACATTTTTCAAATATTAGCACTTTTCCCCGCCTGGGCATTGCTTGGTCCACAAGGAATTGTGCTAAATCTCCATTATGCATGTTCTTAACTCCTGGCACTTCCCACTCAGAAATCCTGAGAAATGGGCTCTCAGCTCTCTGGCTAGTGAGAAAGGACCATTCACCTGTGTAGTGCTAGCAAGAACACTACGTGATTCCCCAGTGTGTCTAAGAAAATTCTGTGTTCTGTTTGAAAATACTGGCTGTTGAGATTTTTTAAAAGTGAGTTCCTCTTGTTTCTGTTTAAGTCATCATTCCTCTCCTGTTTCCTTGGTTTCACTTTCCTTATATTTCTTTTTTTTTTTTTTTTTTTTTAGAAAAGTCAATAAAATTTCTTCCTTTATTGTATTTTTTTCAAAATTCAGGATAAAGTAAGTGGAAGAAACCAAAGTGTTGTTTATGAAGTGTTAATGTATTGAGTCTATTCTGATTTTAAAAAAGAAAACAAGTCATTATTAACTGCGTTGAGGGACTGAGCTCTTGTGAGTAGGAAGAGATCCTGTCACGGTGGGTTCTCACTTAGCAGTACACGCTTTCTAGTCCTGAGGGCCGTGCAGCTCAGGTCATTACGGAGATTCATATTTTTTCAAATAGTTAACGCCATAAATGAAATGCTGCTGAAATTTGATGAGTGAATATGATGGAGTGAGATGATGGAGAAACTATTTTTAATGCTCTACATTTTCTTGCATAAACATGAACAACCATTGATATCTGGGGCTGGTTTTACCTCTTCAATATTTCCAATATCTAATGCATTATGCATTCCTATAAATTATTTGCTAAGTAAAGCGACTGGTACAAGAAAACTGAGTTCAAACTATCAGTTTTTCCCCCTGGTTAATTATGTGGCTTTCAAATGTCAGGAATACCTGTTCATGCATCTGGCCATCAGAGAGTTGGAATGTATGAAGATCCTTCTTTGTCACTGGAAATGTGTATGGTGAGAGACTGCTGCACTTAGCTATGAGGGGACTTTGAAAAGTGCCTCTAGAGTGGAATTAGAGGTTGTCCAGTTTGGTGGAAAAGGCTTTGAAATCCATGAAATCCATGAGATGAGGGCATCTTCAAAATGGTCATAGAAAATTGGCAGCGAGTTTATAGATTTCACAGACTGTACCTCCTGGTGAAACAAAGAAATGTGCCTCTAAGTGGCAGATGTGCAGGCAAGGTGGAGAGCCAGCAAACACAGGAAGTACCGGGAGGGGGGGAAATGGACGAATGGAAAACAAACCAAGAAGCCACAAGTGTGGATTCAATATTCTCTTTGTGAAAAATATGAATAATCACTGTACAAATCTGAGTAATAGATAAAGCTTGCAAAATCCTCGGCACCTTCTTAAGTTTGGACAAACTGCTCTTTACACTAGGAACTCCGGTTTAAATCAGAGAATAAAACTGAAAGTCAAAATATGAAGGTTTCTTGCTGTTAAACCTGCTATTTACCATTAATCATTACTTAAGCTTAGCTTTGAACATGAAATGAATGTTTTAAACCTTTAGGTCAATATTGAATTAAAACACATAGAAGGAAATTCATGTAATATGAACTCATTCCATAATATTTACTCATTTTCCTGGGAAAATCGTTGCCAACTGTTGAATTCTATGAAGGGGTAAAGCATTAAAACTACTGTGATGGATGAGACAAAAGCAGTATGCCCAATGGCGTGTCGTCATTAGACGGCAATATTATCACTGAAACTCAAACCTATGGTGCCTTCTCTGGAGTGTTTTCCATTTAGATTTAATAACGTTTCCTCCTTCTAGGAAAACACCTCTGCTCAGTCCTAGCATTTGAGCAGAGTGTATAATGATAACATTCAACCACAGAGCAGAGACGTGTCTGGCCTGGAAAAGTGCACATTTCCACAAAAACAATAAGAACAAGGATAGAAAATGTCAAACCCATAACTTTTTTTTTTCTTTCTTTTTTTAAATTTAATTTTGACAATCCTTACAAATTTAATTGGGGTAAAAAAGGTTCAAGGCCTAAAGGGGGATATAGAGGAAGAAGCTCCACCCAGTTTCCCGCCCACCCTAAGTCCCGGATGTCAAACCCATAACTTTTTGGAACTCATCTAACAATAACTAGAGGCTTAGAAGGATCTAAGAAAGATTAGAGAAATGGCTGTGTCTTGCTGAACACAGCGTACCGGTGGCCTTTCGAATGTCCTGCGTCCCTTGGCTCTGCTGGCGAGGGGAGCCACGCTTCTGTACTGGAGTTAGATCCTGAATCCTGATCATGTCATTGCAAAAACTTGAAACAACCTTCTTCAAGCATGCAACTAAAACACGTCACAGCTCCAGAGCTACAGCCCATCTTCTAGAGACTAATGCTGTAGCTCTGCTAAAGAGACACCTGCCCCATTCTTCTCAAAGTTGCAAAATGAAAGGATTAAAGGCTTGTTCTGTGCCCATCTCACTGAAGCAGTAGTATTCCAAGTAACCAGTGAGCCTCCATCCTGGTCACTGGCACTGGTTTCCCAACACATGGGCTGAATGACCTCAGTCAAATTATGTAAATGGTCTATTAATTTCCTCATTTGCAACACAGGGCATAATATTCCTTTACATACAGGCTAAATAAGTTAATATTTAAAAAAAATTTTTTAAGTTATTTGACAGGGACTGACAGAGGAGTTCCCACTGGCTGGTTCACTACTCAAATGCCTGCAATAGGCACAGACTTCAGTTCATGAAAATGATACAAATTTAAAGATAAAATATCAGCAATAATACTACCATCAAGGCAAATTCTTAAGTGAAACTAAGTATTTCTCGAATGCAAAATAAACATAATTTTCCTTTTATTTTCGGAAAGTTATGAAGGAAGAAGGTCTCTAAGGGAAAAGAAATATTACATCTAAATCAGGACAAAATGCTTATGGGCTGTGTACCACTTATCTGGAATGGGACCAGAGGAATTTCTGATTTTCCCCAGGTTCTGGGCTGTCCGCGAGGCGGGTCTAACTCCAGCTCCTTCAGTCTTTCAGGGACACCTTGTGCACGCAGCTGGGCTAAGTCTGCACAGTACTGTCACACAGCCACGTCTCGTCTATGATCCATTTTATGAGACCAGATGCGAAATGTTCCACATGTGATGTCAGCTGGTGTTGAAAGTCTTGGATTCCGGAGCATTTTCAGATTAGGGACCCTCAACCGGTATGTATTAAGTGTTAAAGAAAATCTAGAAAACAAGCGTGACAAAATGTTCTCTTCAAGTGTGTCCTGTTCTCTCGTCCCCGCCCCTCCAGACACCCTTCATCTAGTTTCATGAAACAGCAGTGACGTCAAGAGGCTAAGACCGCAGCCGCTGTGCGCAGGCAGCCTGTAGTGTGGCTCCCGGCAACGCCGCAGCGAAGAACGCAACCAGTGAACACAGAGCACCCTCGTGTGGAACCTCCCAGGCCACAGAGGGAGCTACTTCTACATACTATATACATACATACATGGTTCTAGCTGATCTATACAATGTATTCCGCTTTATAAACATGTAATTTCATGCAGCAGATTGCTTGAAAACCATCTACCAGTAATTATTTTAAAACATGCAAATGTGATATTCTCCTGAATGGTGACGTGTCTCACCTTCTACGAGGATCACACAGTCGCCAGCAAGCGGGAGAATGCCTCTTTGTTTCACAAAGTGCATGGCTATGTGCCGCCCACCTTGCCCCTCAGTGGGCCACAGCTTTGAATCATACAGTGATGTGTTGTGTAGTTTGGTATCTGCGGTTTTGGTTGCACTCTCTTGCAAAATCATGTCCAAATTGTGCTCATGTGGAACTTCTTGCAGTGAATGGCACTTAGGGCAGTGCAGCTTAACGGACTGCCAGAGGTGTTTCGGCTTGTAGGATCTTAACTTTGCTCGGATGCGATACTGTTTAGGAGCAGTCTGTTTCAAAATGGTGCTGAGTGGGGTCTTCTCCAAATACTGATGATCTGTGAGTATGGTGGCAGACAGCTGCTGGCATCTCTCCAGCTCGTACGGAGACACGGACCCAGAACTTGAAGGAGTTGGAGAGCTGCCCTCGTGTTCAGAACGATCGGAGTGCTGACTGGTCCATTCCACAGATTCTAACGCCTTTTGCAGCTCGTCCACATCAGAGTTATTCTGGGGCAAGACTGTGATACCGCGGCCATAGCTTGTGCCTCCATGGAAGTGGAACTCCAGGCACAGCACTGTCGTCTGGCTCTCTGTTTTCAGTGACTGAAGTTTGGTGCGGAGACTATAGAGTCTAAGAAAGCTTCCAATCTTCAGAGATCTCGCCACTTGGACATGGTTGTCATGCACTAAAATGTCTATTGTCAGGTTCTGCAGCTGATGGAGTTGATTTAAGTCACCTTCCAGTGCAAGGTTTTGTATCAAAACTCTCCAAGATGGGAAGGGTGTCCTGTGGCCATCCCACACCTTTAGGAGGAATGATGCTCCATCCACTTCTGCCTTGCCCAAAAGCTGACAAGTTAGGTCGAAATACTGCCTTGGCTGAACATCACACAATTTTAATAAGGCTGAAGAAGGGGAAATATGAGAAGATGCCCAAACACGTAAGTCTTCTACCATCTTGTGGTCCTTAGTAGTAAAGGTAAAATACTTGCTTGAAGTGCGAGGTATGACAGGTGCACCCAAAGTTCCTTCAAAGGTCAAAGACGCAAAGCCAGAGCTGGTGATACCTTGAATCGCATTTTTATATTGCTGGATCTTCAGTCTGTGAAAGCGAACAATGTCTCCAACTTTGTAAATTTTGGGAAGGGCTTCACAGTTTCCACTAAAGAGCAGGCAGGTCAATTTGACATTTGTCTGGTCCACAGTCGTGACAACAGAGCAATAATCAGTTCCTTTGCTTAAATATGGAGGCTTAAAGAACTTCACGACACCATACACGTTGACAACTGTACCCCGTTTAAGCTGATTCAGGGGTGTTTACACATAATGTGTTGCTGGAGTCAAAGACATTGCTTCTGTAGAAAAATCTCTTATTGGCTAAGCATAAAGTATTTCAAAACGTCAGGGGAAAATGCTCAACCCACGAAGAAGGAAGCAGCACCTCATCCAGCCAGCCTTCTCACAACTCCAGATCCGAGCGCAACCCACGCGTGACCCGCACAAAACACTGCGACCCCACGGCCTCTCCTCGCACTCACCCGCGCTTCAAAACAAGCGCGCCCGTGACCTTCCTTACATTTCCGAGATCAGACGAGATCGGGCGCGTTCAGGGTGCTATGGCCGTAGAACCTTCCTTATATTTCAATACCAGCTATTCCTAGTCACCATATGTTTGGATACATCTTGCTATCAACACCAGCCTTGATTTATCTAGCTTTTATCCTGAAAGAAGAGAATTCAAGAGCATTGGGATGGGAAGTCCCCATAGCAGAGCTTGATGATCATGCGTCGTGGTGAAGATGGCTTTTGATCAAGCCTGTTGGGAGTTCTGTGCCCCTCCTGGATCTTGTTTCCCAATTCTGTTTCCAGATTAGGGAATTTTTCCCTTATTATTTCATTAAATATATCTCTTTCTGCACCTTCTGGGACTCCCATAATTCTTATATTTGACCTCTTAATATTGTCTTTCAATTCTTGAATATTTTTTTGGTATGATCCAGCCCTGCTTCCAGCTTTTTGTTTGCTTCCCCCTGATGACAGGAAATATCTTCCAATTCTGAGATTCCTTCTTTTGCTTGCTTCATTCTATTTTGGAGACTCTCCACTGTACTTTTCATTTGCTCTACTGTGTTCTTAATTTCTGATATATCAGCCTTGATTTGCTTTATTGCTGCTATTGCTTGTGTAAAATATTCCTTAAATTCTTTGAACTCTTGCATGAGCTTCTCATTGTTGATCAGAAGCTTTAAAATGAGTTTTCTGAATTCTGTGTCCCCCATTTTCTCGATGTCTTCCTCAGTGAACTCTGAGGTTGGCAAAGGGTTTTGCTCCTTTGTAGGGAATCTTTAGTAATATTCATTGTGCCTTTGTCTCTTGTTTTGCTCTTGGTTATTGTACTTCTAGTTAGCAGAGTCTTCTCCTTGGGGCAGGTTTCTAAGCTGTGTTACCCACAGGTCTACAGTTTGATTTTACTTATTGCAGTTGGTACACGACTCTTTGTAGTCAGCCAATTGTGCCACTCCCTCCAGTGAGTTCCAGGTCTGGGTTCTTATGTTAGATTTCCACAAAGAACTCAGTAGTCCCAGCTCCTGGCTCACCAATTTCCACCTCCTGTGATACTGTGCCAAATGCTCTGTTGTCTGTACAATCTCTCTCCTACTTCCAGTTGGAGCAGGTCCCAGCATTAGGGAGACACCATGTGTCCTCTATAGCTAGGTTTTTTGGCACTGATCTTGCTGTAACCCGTTGGCTGTTAGCTCTGGGTGTCTCACAGACCTCTTTTGACCTGTATGATGCCACAGTCACTATTATTTTCCTGTGGGACCAGTGCAATCCATGGAACTCAGTGAGTTCTTGTGAGGTCAGCCGTGCGCAGTTCACTGTTGTCCCCTGCAGTCCCAAAGCTATTGCCACAGTGTACAAAATGGCACCTGACATAGAAATACTAGGGTTCTTGATCTGCTGGCTGTCAGGTCCAAGGGCTACCCAGACCTGTCTTGGGTGGAACCTGTAGAATGCCACGTCGTTGCAGTTCACTGAATCAGAAATGAGTTCACTCCCAGCTCAGCATATCCTCAGTCCTTTCCCTTGCCTTTGCCTCCTTATGTAAAAATGGTGCCCAATTCGGCTCTAGGGGACTGACTGGGCTGTGAAATCCACCCTGTTCTTGCACTGCCCTTCTGAAATCTACTGCTCTGTCTCTGCTCCTGTTCAAATCAAACCGACTAGGAGGACAGACGGGTCTTTGTCTGGGTTCACCTCCCGAGCTCCCAGTGAAAGTCCCTTCCCACCTGGTTGCTGGTGGAGTTTCAGCTGCTGGTGGAGTTCAGATTGCTGTTAGCTGAATGCCGCTGGAATATCAGTCACTGTAATACCACAGTCCTGTGCCCGCTGCTTTCCTGTGTCTGTCAGTCTCCAGGTACCCCTCTGCTGTTGTTCTGGCCTCTCCTATTTCCTGGAATGTGTCCTCTCTGCTTCATCCTGATTAAATGTTTCTCCATTTGTTTAAATGTGTCTTTTCCCTATTCTGCCATCTTGATTCTCCGGTATATTTTTAGTTTTAAAAATGGAAATCCTTATAGTCATAAGCTATACTGATGATAAAGGTGTAGCTTTTCAACTTTTGGTAATAATTGTATCAATTTAGTATTTTTCACACTGCTTCTTTTGAGGGAACATATATAAATGCTAAAATCTTTCCCTTAATGGCCTGACATGATGGTTCGATTGATTAATCCTTCTTCTCAAGTGTCAGGATCCCATGCAAGATACTTATTGATTCCTTCCTTCAGTAAACACTTAGTAGGCTACTATGATGGGTCAGGACAGTGGAGAACGGGGCAAACCAAGAAATGCATGAGGAGCAAGCATTTATTCTTGGCTGTTTTGGGCTTATCTGGTGTCCTCAACATTATGTGCCTATGCAAGACCATCTTGAGCGCTTTCAATGTAGGAGAATCAAGACAGCTTATGCTCTGCTTTGATGGTCAGCTCTTCCTCCAATTTAAACCTCTCAAAACCACAAATCTTCCTTACCTTGATGGGTTTTCAGTAATTTTTGTAATAATGAGATACAGTTTATTCTTCTATTTATGTGATGTTCTCATGAGTCTTTCTTTGAAAAAAATCATTTAGTCAGTTTGAAAGGCAGGGAGACAAAGGAAAATAGACTGACTGGCAGAGATCTTGTCTGCTGATTCATTCCCCAATGGCCACAACAGCTGGGGCTGGGACAGGCTGTAGCCAGGAGCCAGGAGTTTAGACTGGGTCTTCTATATAGATAGCAGGCACCGCGGCTACCTAAGTCATCATGTAACAGTGAGCTGGGATCCAGAGCATCGCCAGGCCTCAAACCAGGCACTACAGTATGAGATTTGGGCACCCCAAGTGGGCATCCTAATTGCTAATTCAAACATGCACCCATCATCATAAATCTTCATTGAGCCTCTTTCTGTTAGGTCTGCCTACATCTCCAACTTGTGATCCTTGTGAAACTTAGCTGAGACTTATGTAAAAATTTTTTTCCATTGATTAATTGATTGATTGGAAAGGCCAACTTACAGAGAGAAGGAAAGACAGGAGAAAGATTTTACATCTGCTGGCTCACTTCCCAAATGGTCACAATGGCAAGAGTTGAGTCGATCTGAAGTCAGGAGCCAGGAGCCAGGAGCCTCTTCCAGGTCTCCCACATGGGTAGAGGGTCCCAAGGCTTTGGACAATCCTCTACTGCTTTCCCAGGCCACAGCATAACTGATTGGGAAGTGGACCAGCTTATCATGAGTTGGCGCCTATATGGGATCCAGTGGTTGGAAGGTGATGATTTAGTCACTAGCCTGCCACATCTGGCACAAGCTGAGACTTTAAAGTTGTAGAGCTTTCTCTTCATATTCACTTAACATGTGTCCTACTCATCTATCAGAGTAGCTCATAAAAATATTTACCGGAACTTAATTCAGGAATGACTTTTGTTCACTTTCTTGGTCACTGTTCACCAGGGGAGTGTAAGACGTCTCTACTTCATCAAAGCCTCCTCAGAGTCAAGGGCAGCCAACGAAGTTATTGTTAATTAAATATTCAAAACTCACTTTATGTAATATGTTAGAATTTAGTCAGCCTTATGACGAGGGAGAATTGTATCTTAATGAGATCAATGTATTTCATCGTTAGTTAAAGCCCTTATGAATTTTACTATTTTGAAATTACTATAAAACGTTACTGTTGTATCTCTTCCCTTCATGATCTGTTGTTGATCATACCTATGACTTATTGGACTTCAAGTCTTTGATCAAGAATACACACTGTAATTATTAACTGGTTTCTAGGGGGAAATGCAACTTGTTCTACACTGTTTTATGATGAATTTTTTCAAGAATTTACTGTGGCAAGCATTGTGGATTACCTATACTTACAGCTGTTTCAAGTTTCAGTTTCTTTCAAGGATCCCTGAAATTTTTTAAGACATTACTCTTACGTCAGATAAACTAGCCTGATTTCATTTTTCAAGAGATATTTCTGAATGATTTTAGTTCCTACGCGTTTAAGAATACAGAATCAAAATGTTTTTTCTTTTACTTAAGTACTATTGAAACCTTTTGATTTATTACTACTATGACTATGGAAAGGGACAGAGAAAGGAGGGATAGCAGAAGACATGAGAGAGGGAGGGAAGTGGGGACGGTGGAGGAAAGCTTGCAGAAAGGAGAAATAGGAAGACCCAGCCAAAGAAAGGCAGTGATACAAGCTCAGACTGTCCTCATGTGACCCCCTGCACCTAGGTGCATGTTGTCACACACTCACAGCCAATCTAGCTGTGTGGATCAGAACTGACATACTCTGTGATCTTAGCATCTGGTAGCAGTCTGCACCGTGCTCCTTGCCAGCACTTGGGCACGTTGCATTGATAGGGAGAAGAAGGTGATGTATGGAAAACAAAAGCAAGAAACAGAGGTGGCCCCGTGAGTGATGGCAGCTCAGGCATGGCTGGAACAGCTGGCTGCCTGGGACTGACTGGGACTCAGACTTGTTAGTCATGTAGGTGGCAGGCTGCTTCCACATCAAGCTAGTTACAGATAATCTGTGCAGGGTGAAAGTTTTAGGCCAAACTTGTAATAGGCCAGAGGTAAATTTAGGCCAAAACAAATCCACTTCAACCTTACCTTCATGCTCTCTCTTTTCCGAAGTCACTCCCACAATGGTTGCCTCTATGCCCTCTGTCCTTGCTCATACCCAAATAAGCTGAGCCTGCAATACGAGATCTTAGTGCACTCATGCATAACATAGTCTAGGCTTGTGCAGGAGGTTTGCGTGCAGCACAACGTATGACCCTACACGGTGGTGGGTTGTGGTTTAGC